TTGACATGATGAAAATGGTAATATGTATGTTTTCATTTCCAGAGGGACCTGAAAACTTGACAGGTGAGAGGCAAGTGGCCACGATGAGTTCCTGCCAAGATGGAGACATTCCCAACCTTCCATGGATTCTAACAGCAGAGCCAAATGAAGGAGCATCTTCTCATCCCTCCACATCTAGAACAATTTTCTTCTATCATCTCTGACAAGCCAGAGGGGCATCAGAATAAAATGATCCTGAACCTCCTTTTTCTGATCTTCCCAAGAACAGGAGCAGGAACACCTCCAAAGCGCTACCTTTTCCCACTTTTCCATCTGATTTCCGCCCTCACAAAGCCCCTCAGCAAAGATATGCAGTCAGGACCTACAGGTGTGCAGTCAGTGTAGACACAGCTGTCCACACATTCTATCCAGGTACCAGAACCAAACTGATTTTTTTCTACCAGGATCTCCTTTAACACATGGGAACTTATAGGTGATTTTAGCTTTGTAGTCTTTGGTCCTCGTTGTTTCATTGTCTTTTGCTTCCGAAGGACATAGAATTTCTTAGCAAGTTCATCACTCGGAGTTTATTGAATGAATCTTGATTGCTCATGTAAGCTTGATTCAAGAGGCTTAATTCATTTGATCTGTTGGAACAGATTTATTGGGAGATCGGAATCATCTCCTATTACATCAGAGTAGTCAGAAGCAGAGCAAGAAAAGAAAGGAATAAGTCAGGACCACCTAACCCCCACACAATGTTACCGAAGGCCAACGAGACAGTCTCACGTCATTAAGACACTAGGGCCTCTCTACCTCTCCATGTGGGCCTGTTAAATCTCCCGCACAGCTGCAGGTTAGAGGCTCCTCCTGGTACCCACCCATCCTCTGAAGTCCCCATAGCACACGCATAACAGAGGAAGATTCCTTGGTAAGTAATCATTGTCTAGTGGTGCTTTATCACAAGTGACTTTATTAGAATATGAATCTGTGGCTTTGCCCTGAGGCAACAGTGGGAAAGATGGGTGAGTTTCAAAGAGATCAGAGATAGGTTCAGGTGCCTGGGGAAGGGCCAGCTCCAGGGAGCCTCCTGGGCCGTGTATTAGAGGGGGGTGGAGGAAGACATGGAGGCGGAGTTCAGGGCAAACTACTAGGACACATTTCACTGTATCAGAGTATCTCTCTACGTGTCAGAAAGTGACAAGACCATTTTTGAGTATTTCTGCCCAGCTCTCTTTGAAAGCAATGGTAGCTCACAAAAGCATCTTGAGAAGGGTCAACAAAGCTGGAGGTATCACTCTCGTGATATCAAATACAAAGTTTCAGTCCTCAAAACAGTATGGTACTGGCATGAAAACATATACGTCAATGGAACAGAATAGAGAGCCCTGAAGTAAACCTGCATTTATATAGGCAATTAACCTACAAAAGGAGGCAAGAATATACAGTGGGGGAATGGACAATCTCTTCAGCTAATGCAAAAGAATGAAAGTGTCCTACTTTCACACCATACACAAAAATAAGCTCAACAGGGCTTAAAGACATAAATGTAACCTGAAACTACAAAATTTGTAGAAGAACACATGGGCAGTAAATTCTTTGAAATTAGTATCATTTTTTTAACCTGTCTCCTCAGGCAAGGGCAAGAAAAGCAAAAATAAATCTTACTAAAAAGCATTTTGCACAGCTAAGGAAAGCATCCATAAAATGAAAAGGCTGCCTACTGAATGGGAGAAGGTACTTGCAAATGATATAACCAATAGAGGCTTAATATCCAAAATGTACAAAGAACTCATACAACTGAATAGCAAAAAAATGCAAACAATCCAATTTTTAAAATGGGCAAGAGGATCTGAATAGACATTTTTTCCAAAGAAGACATACCGATGGTTGACAAACCCATGAAAAGCTCTTCCAGGAAAATGCAAATTAAAACTACAATGACTTATTACCTCACTCTTGTCAGAAGGGCTATTATCAAAAAGGGCACAAATAACAAATGTTAGTGAGACTGGTGGAATCCTTGTGCACTATTAGTAGGAATGTAAGTTGGTGCAGCCACTATGAAAAAGAGTCTGGAGGTTCCTCAAAAAACTAAAAATAGAGCTACTATTTGATCTAGCAATTCCACTTCTGGATATATGTCTGAAAACAAAAACAAAAACAAAAGCACTACTCAGAAAAGATACATGCACCCCAGGGTTCATAGCAGCCTTGTTTATAATAGTCAAGATACGCAAGTGTCCATCAGCAGATAAATGAATAAAGAAGATGGGGCATACACGTACAATGGAACATTATTCAGCCATTAAAAAAAAAACGGAATCTTGCCATTTGTGAAAAGGTGGATGGATTTTGAGAATATCATGCTAAATGAAATAAATTAGACAAAGACAAATACAAAAAAAAAGGAAATATTTCACTTACATGTGAAATCTAAAAAACAAAGCAAACGAACAAACAGAAAAAGACTAATAGATACAGAGGACACCTGGGTGGTCAATGGAGGGAAGAGGTTGAGGGTTGGGTGAAATGGGTGAAAGAGATTAAGGGGAAAAACTTCAGTTATAAAGTAAATAAGCCACAGGGATGTAATACACAGCACATATATATAGTAAAAAATACAGTAATATGTTGGTATGGGGACAGATGGTAACTAGACCTACCCCAGTGATTGTTTAGTTACTTAATAACATATTTAAATACTGAATCACTATGTTGTACACTTGAAACTAACGTAATATTGTATATCTGCTACACTTCAATAAAAAACAATGTTCTATAGGAAAAAAGAAAGAGAAATCATCAAGTTCTTCATATTTCAACCTATAATGGCATCGTGGCACTTGATCATTTCTTGGTCTAAACCCATGTATCTCCATTAAAATTTGTTGCTGTTGTTCAGTCACTAAGCCATATCCAGCTCTTTGTGTCCCCATAGCCTGCAGCATGTCAGGCTTCCCTGTCCTTCACTGTCTCCTGGAGTTTGTTCAGGTTTATGTCCATTGAGTCAGTGATACTATCCAACTCTCTCATCCTCTGCCACCACTAGTGCCACCTGAGAAGCTGTGTCATTAAAATCACCCTGTTAGAAGTTAAATAGTACTCCAATAAAAAAAAAATAAAAGAGAGCAGTGGTAACTCAAGTATTGAAGATCCAACTTGTGAAAAGATGAAAGATTTCATATGTGATCATCTCATTTGTGAAAATCTGACTTTGTGGTCACCAGAAACGTACTTCAAGCCTGTTGTGGTATCTTTCTGCTATTTTGTTGGGAAGTATTTGCTGGCTTACATCTTTCAAAAGGTCTTCGGTAATGCTAAGGGCAGGCAGTTCCTTGGCCTGTCCTGGCCCCATTCTAAGTCTGTTTCATGTGCTGACTTGTTTCATGGTTACACCAACCCTATGATACAGGGGTGCTCCCAGTCCCATTCTGCAGGTGAGGAATCCAAGCTGTGAAACAGACAATATTTTCCCAGGACCACACATGGGGCCAGTGGCGCACATTATACTAGCAGGAAGTAAAGCATGCTTTGGCATCTGAGTCCAAAGGGAACTTTGCACCACCCGTTTGAACCCATTTGAGACGTAGTTCAGTTCAGTTCAGTTCAGTTCAGTCGCTCAGTCATGTCTGGCTCTTTGCGACCCCATGGACTGCAGCACACTAGGCTTCCTTGTCCATCACCAGCTCCCAGACCTCGCCCAAACTCATGTCCATCGAGTCGGTGATGCCATCCAGCCATCTCATCCTCTGTCGTCCCCTTCTCCTCCTGCCTTCAATCTTTCCCAGCATCAGGGTCTTTTCCAATGAGTCAGTTCCAAAGTATTGAGGTTTCAGCTTCAGTTGAGATGTAATAGTGATTCAGAATCATAACAAACTTCTCTGTTACCTAGAAATGTTGAGTTCCAATGGAGATATTTGCTGGCTTGAGGTTTATGGGTGGAGCTGTTTGCCATCTTGTTCTTTTTTCCCGTGGAAAGAGCTTAGCACTTATCTGACCGCCAGCCAGAGCAGGAGCCAGGAGAGAAGGCTGGGCTCTCCTAACCTGCAGCCTGACCACAGCCAGAGGAACACTTCATAGATGGGGAGGGCTGTCTTTCCTGGTGACTCAGATCTGAAGAAGCAGCTGTGGGACATTCAGGTCCTGAGTGGATGAGGGAGCCCCTGATCCCAAATGTCCAGGACAGTACCCCAGAAATTGCTCCCCTCTCTTTCTTTCTCCCTCTCTTTTATTACCTTAGTATTTAATATGGCTATGGCGGCACTAGTGGTAAAGAATCCACCTGCCAATGCAGGTGATGCAAGAGACACAGCCTCCATCCCCGGGTCGGGAAGATCCCCTAGAGGAGGAAGTGACAACCCACTCCAGTATTCTTCCCTGGAGAATCCCATGGACAGAGGAGCCTGGCGGGCTACAGTCCACGGGATTGCAGAGTCGGACACAACTGAGTGACTTGAGAGCACCCTTGAGAATTGCAGAAAACCTAGTGATATGATAGAAAGCTTGCAAACAGTATTACAAAAGTGGTCAACAGCGTGAATACTCTAGTTGGTCACAAAGGCTATCAGTTGCCTCCCTCTCCCAAATAGGAGGGCTTCTGCCAGGAACCGAGGAAACTGCTGGAGCCAATTTTGTCCTCTCCTCTCCTGGAGAGACCCCCTGGATTGTGCAGAAAGCTTCCAGGAAGGTCTAGTTGTGCTTTCCCCAGCCTGTCACCCTGTCCCACAGCCTGGCCTAGGAGCCACTGCTGGTGGGAGAAGCTCAAGGTGTAGGTGCAGCTGGACAAGTCTCAGTGTCCAAAGACTCCTTGGCAAGAATGTCCCCACAGCACGACAGTGGGACTGGGGCACGTGTGTAGCAGCCAAGCTCTGACTTAATGGCAGATGCCTTTTCCAACGGCCCAGCCTCCAGCACACAGATGTGCCGGTGATGACCAAGAAGGATCAAGTTTCTGCTGCGAAATCTTAAACAGCATTGGCTTCCAATCAATTAATTAATACCAATTTACTCATCTGGCCATGTTTCCCCCTCATTGCGGGAAAGAAAGCCTGGCTGGCCTGCTGTGTCTCGGTGAGGTGGGACACAAGGTCCTTTGTGCCCGGCCCAGCCCCACACCGAGAACCATGGGGCTATCTGTCTGCTGCCTGGGAGCAGCTTCTGGAGACTCGCTGTCTTCTGGGTCGTGTGCCTCTTCTGAGGTCCTAAATGGTCTGAGTTTTCCCCAAAGCTAATGGACCTGTAGAGAGAGGTCATTCTTCAGGGGTCCTGTAGCACTCTGTGTGTGGGTGTACATATGTGTGTGTGTGCGTGCGCACACACATAGATGGAAGCATATTTATACGGCAACAAACTGCAACAAGGGAGTTTGTTTCTGAGCCTGCCTCTCATCTAGGCTGAAGCTCCTGAGTTCAGGCTATGTTTTCTTTACCTGTGCATCTCAGCATCCAGCCCAGGACCCAGAAGCTGCTCAAGGATACCAGAGGAGGACTGAGTGATGACCTTGAAATAAACACACCACCTTTACGGACTCTGCCTGAGTGCCACTGTGTGAAAAACCAGGACATGTATATACGGAAGTAGGTGAAAATCCACCTAATGATTACATTCATAATGGAAAATTATGACTCTTTAGAAACCCATCCATATCTCTCCCCTTAAAAGTACACAGTAACTACCCGTTGTGTGAGGACTGAGTCCTGATACATGCCTACGGCTGCATCCTGATGTGCCGTGGCATGATAATAATTCTGTAAAAAATTATGACTCCACATTTAGTTCATAAAAAACTATCAAGCCGTGAGAAATGGCAAAATAGAGGATTTATTCTGAGAATGAAAAGAAACGATAGTGGTGCTCTTTAAAATCCATCCACTAAGCACTGATGTCATGTTTTCAGAGTTGGAGAAATGGACTTGAGATTTTTCTTTTTCCTATCAGGATCTTTTTACCATTTTTCCTCTTTCTTTCCTTTTCATCTTAGGTGCAAAGTTGAAGTGCCCACTGGCCCTGGCTTCCTTGCTGGGGTCAGAGCAGCAGGGCAGGATTGCAGGAAGAGCTGGGGTCCGCTGTGTCCCCCTCCAAACCCCATGTGCCTTGCCCTCTGCTGACCCCCCTCCTTCAAGTGGCTGCAGACCTACCTCTGCAAGATTCCTCCTACTGTTGGGGGGGGGGGTGGCCCAGGCAAGAGGCCCCCAGGTTGATACATTATATATAATGGGTAACATCACTGGTTCCCAACACAGTATCTGAACTTGGTGCTCATTTCCCGCAGCCCCAGAGGACAAGGCCAGGAAAGGGAAGGGACGGAGCTGGGGGCTGTCCTGGGGTCCAGACACTGCTGGTTTATCACACCCGCCCTCAGAGAGCCTCCTATAAAGGGAACCAGGGCGCTTCCAAGGCCTGACCGCCAGGTGGGGCTCTGGGGGAGTGTGGACACTCTCTTCCACTCCTGCTGATCACTGGAAAATTCCAGACTCTCCCAGACCCTGGAGAGGAGCCTGCTGGGCCTGTGACCAGGGAGCCACATCTCACCTTCCTCCTGGCTTGTAAGAGGGCGGCCAGGCCAGAGCTGCTCCCCGCCCCCACCCCTGGGGTGCCCCCTGTCCATCAGAGCCAGCCAGGAGGGATGCTGGGAGATGGCAGGGCCCAGGGGGTACTCCAGGGTCTGCACCCTCTTCAACCAGGGCTTGAGTCAGGCCTTCAGCCATGAAAGTGTGAGGACACCCCCACAGCCCCCAGCTTCCCTGAGGCTGAGGGAAGAGTTCCCCCGTGGGCCCTTGTCGGGGGGATGCTGGGGGGCCTTATCTACCGGTACAGTTACTTGCGTGCGGCTGGGTGGAGCGCTGGTTTTCCGTTTACTTTCCCATGGCCAACCACACAGAGGGTTTGCTGACAAAAATAACTGTGTCAATGATTTTTTAGTTATGTTTGGTTTAATGTAGCCGCAGAACTATGATTTCTGAAATATTCTTTTTAAAGGGTTTTTTTTTTAATGTGGTGAAAGTCGCTCAGTCATTTCCGACTCTTTGTGACCCCATGGCCTATAGAGTCCATGGAATTCTCCAGGCCAGAATACTGGAGTGGGTAGCCTTTCCCTTCTCCAGGGGATCTTCCCAACCCAGGGATCGAACCCAGGTCTCCCGCATTGCAGGCTGATTCTTCAGCTGAGCCACCAGGGAAGCCCTTTTTTAAAAAATTTTTAATGTGGACCATTTAAAGTGTTTATTGAATTTGTTACAATGTTGCTTCTGTTTTGGGTTTTGATTTTTTGGCCTAGAGGCATGTGGGAGTTTAGCTCTCCAACCAGGGATGGATCCTGCACCCCCTGCATTGGAAAGAAGAATCTTACTCACTGGACCTCCAGGGAAGTCCCTCCTAGAAATATTCTTATCAGGCTAATATTTTCTAACTGAAATCTTGATTGAAATCATTGCAGCATCATGTGCAAACATGAGGAATAAGGCAGAGAGGGGTCTCTTGTGAATGTGGCCCCGTTTTTCTTCATGATGACATTTTACAAACCTACAGGACACTGTCTCAGGCAGGATGTGGACAGTGACAAAGTGCGTTGACTGTATTTGGATGTGTCCAGTCTTCCTTATACTCCTGTGTGTGTGTTTGTATGTGATATGTTTTCTGTGTGTCTGTGTATGTGTGGTATGTATAATATGGAATCCTATCCCAACGCCACAGAGATGGGTCATCTCTGGAACTGACTGAGCCCCATTGTAACCACTTCCTACAGTCCCTGATACTTAACAAGCAGCCTCCTGACCTCAAATTAGGCAAAACTGTCCACCCTGGTAATCACTCTATGACACCCTAACTGATCACCTAACGCCACCCTTCTAGCAGGAATTTTCTTTGTCTCGAGGCTATAAAAATTGGCTACTAACCCACGAAAGAGGTTGTCTCTGTCTGATCTAGCAGGTGGTCAACCTGCTGTGTTTGCAGCGCCCTCAGTATCTCTGCTTTTTGGTCTTAATAAACTCACTCCCTCTGTGTCGAGAAATTCTTTTCCAATCCACGCTTGAATTGCCACAACATATGTGTGTGTGTGCACGTGGTGTGTCTGCTTATGGGTGTGTGTATGTATGTATCTGTGGTTTGAGTATGTGTGTGTGGTGTGTCTGTGTGTGTATGTATGTGTGTTTGTATATGTGTGTATTTGTGGTTTGTATATGTATGTGTGATGTGTCTGTTTATGTGTGTTTTTATGTGCATGTATGTATATGTGGAGTGAGTGTGTGTGTGTGGTGGTGTGTGCATGCGGGCTGTGTCTGTGTCTGTATATGTGGTGTGTGTCTGTATGTCTGTGTGCTATGAGTACTTAGCTCTGTTCACTCTGTAGGATCTGTGTGGATCTGTGTACCCAGCACCACAGTGCAGACACCGAACAGTTTTAAGGCTGCAAGGATCCCCCCTCTGCCCTTTTTAAAACCCCACCTGTTAATAATTCCCTCATGAATCTACCACCCTCACCTCCAACCCTAGACCTATTATCTAATCTCTGGCAACCACTAATCTGCTCTTCGTTTCTAAAATACAGTCATTTCCAAATGTCCCATAAAGGAAGCAGACAGTTTCCATTTCTCTCAGACAGATGCCCAGAAGTGCACTTGCTGGGGGAATCCCCCAGTCACATAACTAGATTTTTAGAAAACTGCTGCCCTCTTTCTCAGAGCAACTCCAGCATTTGACAAGCCCAGAAGTGCACACGAGTTCTGGTCTTCTGAACCTTTGTCAGCATTTGCTATTGTGATTGTGTTTTATCGGAGCCATTCTGATAGGTGTGTGGCAGTATTTCATTGTGGAGTTAACTTGCATTTCCCAGAGGGCTGATGTTCAGCACCTTTTCAGGTGATCACTTGCCATCTGTGCATCCTCTTGGTGGAATGTCTGTTCCCGTTTTGCCTGTTTTCTAATTGGATTGTTTCCCCGCTGCTGAGTCTAGAGAGTTCTTTATACCTTCTAGATACAAGTCCTTTGTTTGGTGTGAAGCTTGCAAATATTTCTCCTCGGTCTGTAGCTTGTCTTTTCACTCTCCTCTTACAAACATCCAGAGAGCAAAAGTTTTAAATTTGGGGACTGGGTTACACAGTTCATTTATCACAATTTTTATGTGTCTTGTTCCTGGTGCGAAGTTAAACAGCTTCTTGCCTAGTTCTTGGTCCCAAAGATTTTCACTTATTTTCTTCCAAAAGATTTATAGGTTTATGTTTTACATTTGATTCTATGCTGTATTTTGAGTAAATTTTTTACATAAGATGTGGATTTAATCATAGTTCACTTTTTCCCCTCTGTGGATGTCCATTTGCCCAGCACCATTTGTTGACAAGGTTGCCTTTCCTTCACTGAATTGCTTTTACTCCTTTGTCAAAAATCATTTGGGCATATTTGTGTGGGTCTATTTCTGGGTCCCCTGTCCTGTTCTATTCATCTGTCTCTCTGTTTCGATTATAGCCACTAGATAGAAAGCCATATTATCAGATAGAATGATTCATCTCACTGTGTTCTTTTTCAAGATTGTTTTAGCTATTCAAGGGCTTGTGCTTTTCCATATAAATTTTAAAGTAAGTTTCTCTATGTCTCTAATGCCTTACTGGGATTTTGATAGGAATTGCATAAACCTATAGATTAATTTGGAGAGAACTGCCATCTTGACTATGTTGAGTCTTCCAACATATCTATTAGATTTTCTTTGATTTCTTTCATCAGAATGTTGTCATTTCTAGCATTCAGTTCTTCATTGTGTTTTGTTAAACATATACCTAAGAGTTCCTTTTTTAAAGTGGTTATAATAGTATCACATTAATTTTAGTTTTTGCATGTTAACTGAGAGTTAGACCACAAAGAAGGCCGAGAGCTGAAGGACTGACGCTTTCTAATAGTGGTGCTGGAGAAGAGTATCTTGGACTGCAAGGAGATCACACCAATCAGTCCTAAAGGAAATCAACCCTTAGAATTCATTGGAAGGACTGATGCTGAAGCGCCAATACTTTGGCCACCTGATGCAAAAAGCTGACTCATTGGAAAAGACTTTGAAGGCAAGGAAGATTGAGGGCAGGAGG